AAAGAATTTCAGCACTACCACAGCGCCTCTGGTATTATTGGTTTAGCACTAACCCCCTGTTGTTTATTAGCAACAATTTCGGAAATATAAGAAAAAGGCTAAACATTTTGTTTTCAATAAACTAAACATAAACTTATTGTACAAATCGACCAATAATGTTTTGACATAACATCTCATAAAATTTGACTCGTACTGATCCATTTAGACTGCGAGTGCAAACCGAATCCTGGAAAAAATAGTTTTCCTAGTGTGGTACAAACTTTTTTCGGGTGTAGACGGTGTTTACGATGCGAAAGTATTGTCTGGAGATTTTTACGAAGGAACGAAAGTTGAACAACGAGTTTGTTTGACATTTTTTTCCAATGGAAACACGGCTGAGAAATCGTTGAAAATTTTGCAGAAAACTTTTTGACAGTGTGCTTTATCAGGAATACCTGTATTTGAGCAACACTAAGCATTCGTCGTCGAAGGTTTTTTCAACTCGGCGTACTGGCGTCAGAGGATAGCAGAGGATTGCAACAGATCTTACGGATCGACATCGAATAGAGGTCGCAAAGAAAAAGTACTGGTGATAGACGTGAGATTGTGTATATGACGTTGAAACCGTCACATAATCTAGCGAGGGGAGGCTCAAAGGACAGCGGAAATCGAAAAATCAAAGTTAGCTGAAAGCTTTGAAGACCAAGGCTTATAAAAAGTGTATGAAAAATTGGATAAATCGTGGGCATGCTTGAATTGGCTCAGAAGGACCTTATTTGTCTTTGCCTTATTTATGATATCTTAAAAGGTGTATGTTTCTTGGAAATACATTTTTAATTCATACTTTTTTTTTAAAAAAGTTTGAAACAAAGTTATTATGGCTCAACTATTATTACTCATGTTACAATCGAAGTTTTTAAAAATTGTTTTTCAGTAACGAATTCATATGAAAACTCGACATTGATTATACAATGCTTAATCGTTTTCCTAATTCTACTAAACACTTGCCTGACAATTACGGACGTAAAGGCAAATCGCAAAGTCAGCGGGAAAGGTTTTATAAAATTTTTTGGTGATTAGCTTAGAAAAAGCACGTAATAAATTAATTAACTATAATAAAGTTATAGCGGTGTGGGCATAGATAAGCAAGTGTCAGAAAAATTCTTCCACAAGTTTTGCTAATATATGGATGTATGGTTACTATGCGGCGGTATAAACGTAGAGTTCTGAAATTCCCATACAATTTATATTTAAATTACGTACATTAGGTTGGAACTGTCACCATTAAAAAAAATTTTGGTAATACACCCTAAATCTTCTTTGAAGAGCTTATGTATATAATACCATGAATGAATAAAAATTTGATTTATTGAAAACTTTCTTCTGAGTATCATATCTCTATGTCGTTTCATTCACAGTAATGCCTTTTTTTGGTTTCTACAACACCTCTAGAATATTGTCCTAAATTTTCAAGTTGATCTGAGTAATAGTTTCAGAGATAAAGCTTTGAGAATTTGTGATCACTAAGTGCTTCGGCTTTAAAAGCGTTTTTATCGAAATTGTCGATTGGCAAGATTTCTCGAGAACTATTCAACTAATCATCATGAAATTTTACACAGGTCTTTTCGATAGCAATTATTTGAAAAAAAAATTACCCGCCCCGCCCCCTACTAACTTTTTTGTACATATCTCGAAAACTACTATAGCTATGTCAACCAAACTGTATAGAGTCGTTTCTTTTAGGCATTTCCATATACATTTCAAAAATGGAAGAAATCGGATAACCACGCCCACCTCCCATACAAAGGTTATGTTGAAAATCACTAAAAGTGCTTTAACTGTCTAAAAAAAAACGTCAGAAACACTAAATTTTACGGAAGAAATATCAGAAGGAAGCTGCAAGATGTGTATAAGAGACAGTCACTAAAAGTGCTTTAACTGTCTAAAAAAAAACGTCAGAAACACTAAATTTTACGGAAGAAATGTCAGAAGGACGCTGTATTCAGGCTTTTTTTAAAAATTGAAAATGGGCATGGCGTCGCTCACTTATGGACCAAATCTCAGGAAGTACTCAACCGATTTCAATGAAATTCGGTATATAATATTTTCTTAACACCCTKATGACATGTACCAAATATGGGTGAAATCGGTTCACAACCACGCCTGAAATCTCGATTATCACTTTATCATGCGAGAGTATAAAATGTTCGGTGACACCCGAACTTAGCCCCTCCTTACTTGTTTTAATTCTAGATGATCCTGTAAGGAGCTATTCTGTCAATCCATATTTTTTTGTGGGTTCGCTGGAAATGGCGTAACAATGGCCGTGTTGAACTTCTTTATTTTTTGAAAAATTTAAATAAAAAAAATAAAAAATTTTAATAAAATGTCGAATTTTTTATATGAGAAAAAATTATTTGAAAAAAAAAACTATTTTTTTATTCGAGGAAACCCATGTAACCTCTCAACTGAACCCCTATAAATGATGTCAAATATCTATTTTATAGGTCGCTTCGACAGTCGTTTGTTTGATCGAATAATTAGAATATATTAGTGAAACCCTCTAGATATTCTTGTGTGAGTACATTTGTAAGCTCCAAAATTGAATCTAGGTTTTTCCTACTTAAAGTCTTTAAGCTTGATCTCTAACATTTTTTTTAAACCCTTACTTTACTAATGAAATAGCTATTCTTACATGAACAAACTCCAGTTGTGAATATATCCATTAGGGTCGACGTTGTTTTAAGAACATTCTTTGGAAAATATTATTCTGTGGTAATTCGTTGAAGAAACTTGCCCTTAAGACCCTCATACGAGTATGTGCTTATCACAGTTGTCGTTGCACGAATTGTTTTCTTTGTTTTATCGTCGCGTCATTGCAACGATCGTTGTTCCAGTTCTGTGACATTCACTAGCAGCCAATTCGATATCGCAGCAAATTCTTACAAATATATTATATATATACTATTATATATTCTCATATATATTATATACACTTGCACAAGAATGTTGGACAAAAAATCAAGTGCATTCGGTGTCGTTCACTGATAAGCGTTTGAAAGCTCAGCTTTGCTGATTAGAAACAATGCATTTTATTTCTTTTGATAGTGACAAATTTCATGATGTGCTCATGTGTACTATTTATATAATAATATACATATACATATATGTGTATATGTTACGTATAAGTGTAGGAATGTATATCGGTAATGGCGTACGCCGTGTTTATTCCGAAAGTGCCCAATATAGCAGATTTTCGTGTTGGTATTTACTTATAAAATACCCCAGATCATTCAGCTCCTTCAAGGGCTCTCTAGAGCAGCAACTCAGGGAAAACTAGCAACCCGGAGCATACCAAAAAATTACTTTAGGATATTGTTGATGATGGACAGATTAAAAAGCTCCCACTGGGAACTTATTAATACTGTAGGTGTCATCACAAAGCACCTACCCTTAAGGACCCGCCTTCAAAAAATGGGGAAAGTGTATTCGGCAGAATTCAGAGCAAGCAAGGACGACGCTTGTATGTTGTCTATGCATAGCCTTCAGCTGCAATAATTTTTCTGATATATTAATTCATACCTGAGTTGTATACTGGAAAGTAAAGTCTCAAATGGAATTTAAAATTGTGTTATATGGGAAGTGATCGGGTTATAATCTGATTTTATTCATTTTTACACTTCTCGATTTCGAAAGAAAACTTTATAATTGTATACTGTGTTAAAACAGGCGAAGCTGTTGAATTATAATAAATCATTTTGAGCTAAAGTGTTATTTTTCGAATTTATTGCAAAGTATCTTATCTCATACATATATCATAAAAAACGATTAAAGATAATTCCAGTAAATGATAAGGTTATCAATAGCTTCTATTATCAGATTAATAAATTCAGCTTTTGTGGTCTCATGTAATCAACTATGAAATGATGCCCAATAAAAATAAGAAAGCTTGATTACAAGGTGTGGTGATTGAAGAGCGGAGCTAATGCAATGAGATTGAATTTCATTCCATACATGTTGTTCCAGGTTTGATGTAAACATATGTGTATACCTCGAAGAGCACAAGAAGTTTAAATATTCAGGCAGCCCGGTAGGCCTCGGACAATGACACTATTACCAGTATTGACATTTTTGAAACATATTCGGACGAAACGGTGCTGAATGTAAATGCCTCGATATGGCTAAATTATGGGTAACCGGAAATGGCATCGCAATTGCTGAGTTTAAGATGACTTTTCCAAAAAAATTCAAGATTTTTTATTTATTTTTGTTAATAGTATACGTTTGCAACAAAAAACAATTCTAATAAAATATTTAATTTTTTATATGAGTAAAAAAAATTTGAAAAAGGCAATTTTTTACTCTAGAAACCTTTGTAACCCCTTAAATGAGTTTCCACAAGGGTTTTAAGAAGTAAGAAATACAGATTACCTATTTTCAACGCAACTAAATTGAAAAGTATTCTTCATAAATCCTTAATCCATTTTACAGTTCTTTCGGTTATGACAATATCTAATAGAGTGCTCCTTTGGAGCTTCCGTATTACTTCCAACAAATTATAAGCGGTCTTCACCTAATAACCCTTTATTTATCTTTAGCTACACTGCAGAAGCTTCAATACTGTAACTTAATAATCAGACCACGTATAATGCTTTTGTTTTGACTGAGAAGTAGTCGGATTTTGTAACGATTCAAAAATAGAAGTTTGTACCAATACTGAGCTTTAAGGCGAGCTTTGGTCAATAACTTAGCTTAAGGCTAATAAGTGCGAGCTTAAGCAATGTCAAAAAAGCTTTATAAGCTTTAATTTGCCTAACTTTTATGCTAAGCTCTATTTGCCGCTCAAACAAGCTGATCACTTAAAACTCAAGATCCAACAAATAAAAGCTTTCAATGTGATCGTAGTTTGAGTAACAAGCTGAGCTTAGTTGCTCCAATATTGCTTGTGCGCTCAACAACTCCAAGCGAAGGTGGCAAACTGCCAGAAGGAGCACAAAAACGCAAAACAAAAAGCCACAACGCGGAGCATTTCGCCCCACATGAAGCTGTGCCGCCACACTCTTTAGTACGCACATTTCGGCCATTGTATATTTGAGTTCTCCCACCAAGCCAACAAATACCAGTTACTCGCGCACAACAGACGCGAAGACAACAAATCGAACGATCAACGCAAGTAAAACGATTAAATCGCTTGAGATTAGTGGCAAACTAAATAAAATACCTGTTGAAATTAAGAAACTAATATTAAAGTATCGCTTGTGAGAGGTAATTAAAGCGTTTTGAGGATTAAGTGGACAACATATAGTATTCAGCGGCTAGTGTAAATTGGCAAAGACGACGGTACGCAAGGAATTACAAGCGAGATTGTGCAAAATAAGTGAGAAAACTCAAAAAGTGTAGTGCTTCCATCTACAAATCACAAATTTTCATGACTATCCGCATACAGAAAGCGTCATAAGAAAGTTTGGTGTGAAAAAAGAAGAGAGAAAAAAGTGAAGAGTTTGAAGACGAGAAAGCATTTTCGAGCAGAAAAAAGTTGGTTTTTGAGCAGAGCGAAGGCGGTGCAAAGACCGAAGAGCAACAGTAAACAATTAAAATCAATTATCGGTGAGTAAAGTGGATGGCTAGCTGCGAACTATAAGAATTTATGCGAATAAATTTAAAGAATAGTATTTTATTTACATGTCTGAGACAGAGAAAAGTTTAAATAATTAAAACAAAGTCTATAAAAATACTTTAAAACTGTTATAAACATTGTATCTATATAAAAATTATAACAATTCAAAATATTTCGATAGTAAAACCAAAAATATGCAAACAAACCAAAGGCGCATGCGCAACAGTTGCGGCTAACCCAGCGCTTAACATAGTGGGGTATAATGAAAAAAAGGCAAATAAAAAATATTTTAAATAACAATTGTTGCGGTTTTTGCTACCAAACAAATTTCTTATAGTAAGCTTAAAGCGCACACCAATAATAGCAACAAAGTGGCTGGTAACGCAATGTGTACAATTTTGGAGCGCCTGAAAAGGTAAGGCACAAAAAGGCAACAATTTCGCTCTTTGGAATTATACACGTGCGTACAAAATTTTACGTTCCACCTATTTTCGGTTAACTGTATTTTGCTATCGGAGCGCTTAACTATATGCCAACGACATAGGTATATATGTACATACATATGTACATAGCTAAGCATTTTATTAGAAGGTAGTACGTGCAATTTACATATACGTGTGTATAAACGTGCATGCATATCTTAAGGCTTCGGTTACATGGACTTAAGCACATACATACATGACTTCACACAGTTCAATCGCTGATTGCTCGCCAAGTCAACACCAGTCCGAAGATGACTCAAACCACTATGCAAATCGCAAATGATTTTTTTGGTTCATTTTTTATTTATTTAATTATATGTATGAGTACATGTAGTTAAAGAAATACATAGCTATTTGCTTAATGGTATTTTTTTTTATAATAAATCGCAGAAGACTTTTATTTATCAAAATAAGAAAGAGCATTAACTTCAGCTGCACCCTTCACAGGTGCATTATTTATAACATACATATATAAAAGAGCTATAAAAACAATGTCATCTTGAATTCAATCGAATATTGCTGTGACAATAATCAAATTTCGTGAAAATATCTTGTAAATATCTGAAAAAGTTTTCCATACAAGCACTTGATTCTGAACGTTCAATTTACTATATATGGCAGTTATATGCCATGGTTGTCGGATCTGAGCAATTTCCTCGGATATTAGAGTATTATCTTAGTTCAAATACCCTACTGTATTTTGTGAAGATACCTCGTCAAACGAAAGTTTTTCAGAACTTGTTTCCGTTCCTTCAGTTATATGGCAACTTTAAGCTATAATGATCCGGCATTAGGGGCTGCAACAGACGTTTGCAAAATCTCTGGTCAATAACTAAAGGATTGGTTTGCATATATAGAAACAGACATTCTCAAACCCACTCAGCTCATCCTGCTAATAACTATGTATATATTAAATTCCCAACACAGCCGGTTCTACGTTAGTGGAATTGACCCTGATTTTATCCGGCCAAGGGCTGTTATTTCGGCTGTTATTTTGTATCATTCGTATACATATTATGAATGAAATTTCAAAAAAATAACTATGTTCTTCTACTTTCGTTTAGGTTTTTCTGAAACTTGTATCAATGTCTTGCAGTTATTATAACCAACTGTTTAGTAGGAAGGAAACACTAGAAAACCTGAGAATCGACAACAGGATTTATATTCGCTGAAAACTTTTGAAAATATTCTTTTTCATTGGAAATTTAATGCTAAAATGTTCTATGCATAAAAAACGGTAAATTTCAAGGATAGATCATACTGTCGCTAAGAACTTTCTTTCGAAATTTTTAAAAAGATCTTCGAGTAAATTGGTTTAGAATTCCTGGAGAGTAAATATTTACTTCTGTGCTGCTAAAAAGATCAAGAGATAGGTGTGAAATATAAATGATTATCCACAGAACGTGAAATACTATATTTTCTGGGATAATTAGAAGTGCTTATAGAGATATTAAGAAAGTATGATACTTATATAGAAAGTAACTGGTTACTATAACATTATAGTAACATTATAGTAACCATACGTTTTTTGGTTTTTAAGTCAACCAGAGCGGAGTCTGTGCAGAGTAAATTTTCTACTGACATGATTGGAAAGTTGTATAAATACGGGTAGTATCTTTTTATGGAACATCTGTCTCTCATTTTTTCATTAAAATTAAGCCTATATACAGCTATAATTTTTTAAATTTACCGAGAGATATTTTAGTTTCTACAGACCTTCCTTCTTAGGTTACCAATTGCATTAATAATCATTGGGTTGACAAATTTTTTTATTTATAAAGTAATTCCAATTTAACTGTTTTGGTTTTTCTGAACCTTTTTCCTCAAATTCACGGAGTTTCATATATAGTTTTCAGTTAGCTTTGTCAAATATGTGATTCCCATTTTAGTTTATCATCTATAGCCATGAAGTCTTAATTGTTAGATTTCAAGTTTAATAAGCTCAAAGAGGCCTTGAAGTCCAGCACTTAGATTCAGCACTGTTCTAAATCAGATTTTTTAATACTGATGCTGAGTAAAGGGAATGGCAAACACTAGTACACTAGCAACTTTGTATATATTTTTATATTAAACTAAAACTACAATCTGTGATATATATGTACATATGTATGTGTATGGGCAAATATATCGCCTTAAAAAATCCAGTATCGGCTAATATGTTACAACGCACAAACTCGTTGGCCACTTGATTGAATAAGAAATTGGCAAGATTATATGTTTTCAACTAAAAGATTTATAATAGTATGGCCGGTTGGCCTTGTGTGTGGCGTCGTGTTGCCAAAAACCACCGACAACTGTAGAAAAGAAGTAAACTCAAATGTAATAAAGTGTCTGTGGAAAACAAGTTTCATTTGATTTTAGTTTTCGCGAAAAGTGGGTCAAATTATGGACGTACTAAATATGGTGAGCGCCACGAAACTCAAGCTAAGCTTCAACACAAGAAATTGAATGTGGTTGCTGAAGAATAGACTTAAATGCTAAAAGTAAATACTATATTATTGCGTAAGCTTGTTAGTACCAAGAGTTAACGATAGGCAAGCTGTTATCTGACAAAACGATGGTGATTAGGGTTGCTTGGATGCATAGATTGTTGATGTAGTAAGTCAGGTATTGCAATGATGAGTGTAAAATGCTAGTAAATCCGGTACGTGTCTGAACGTCATTGAGTTCCGAAAAAGCAATATCGCAACTTATAAAAATATTTTAAAATTCAACTCTCGGCAGATGAAAAATGGAGTCTATATAAAACACATTAGTCAAGTTCCACCCGAATCTTTTGGTTTCTAGATAAAAGTTGCTCAAAAAATCAGAAATAATCATAAATAACTTGATATTAAGTGTAAGTAACACAAGGGATTGAGAACAGAATGTATACGTAAACAAAAGAGATTGTTTTGCGTTAGTCAAAATATTGAAAACCTCAGTTCCCTTCGTAGAAAAATAAAAAGTCGTCTTGAAGTTCAAATGGGAAGAGTCGAAATGTATTATTGAGAATGCTACTATCAAAATTATAAAATATTAGTTCTATACCCGATTTTTATGGACAAAGTGTTCCATACTTTTGTCTGTCACCCTGTAACATTCTTCGCTTGTTTTAATCTTTCGTTAAAAATTCTTTGAACTATATATTCTATGCAATTAAGAATGAAAAAGCAATTAGTTTTTTAAACAAAATTTAAAATTTTGGAAACAATTTCTACATTTGTGTGTCATCCTGAAACATATTCCGCTTGTATAGTCAGGAAACATGCCCTAAACTCCTTCTCTAATGTGTACTGCTATAAAATGGTTTGTGTTAGCTGTGGATTTTGGTGATGTTTGGAGTAAGAAATTTGGATAATTTTTTCCACATTTGTCACCCTTTGTCCCCTGATTCTAGTCTAGAAAAATGCAATTATTATTTTTATTACTTATTTTTTATTAGTTATTTATTGACATTACAAGAATAAAGGAAAAAATATTAAAAGTAGATAATTTTAAAAAACTTCAAAAATTAGCTGTTGATGAAATCGGGGTCTAAAAAAATTGACACTAATAAAAAATTTTTAATATTTTATATTTTTTTAATTAATATTTATAAATAGACGGTTTTACTGATATTTAGTTTTATCACCCTGTATAATTTATTGGTTTTTCTTGATTTGAAAACTGGCATAAATTCCTTATTTAATGTTTAATGGTATAAAATTGGTTATGGCAAAGCAGTAATTAGTACTTTCTGGTACAATCCACTACAAAAGTAAGACAGATAAATTAAATGCATAAATATATTAATAAACAACGAAATTGGTACTGATTCGCTTAAGTAACTCCATGTAACCAATAATTTAAATTTTGAAACATATAGGTAGTATGTAATTACAAAGAAAAAAAGAACAACAAACACGTTTGGCATAAAAGTAATACTTATTATATAACAACACTTTACAAAACTAACACCAACAGGCGACTTAGGTATACGCAAAAGTGGACACCCAAAATGAGCGTTGATTCGTGGAACTTAATCACATAGTGCTAAATGCAATTAAAAAGTGATAATTAGCTGACCGGCAACTATATTTAAGCGTGTACTAAAGTCAAGACCTATCTTATGGGGAAGGTGTGTGTAATGGGTAAATGACTGTTGTCAGACTTTCCATTTCCTTTACGTGATGTGGAAGTGGCTTATCAATTGCATGCGTAGTGTTGTGAAAAGGCAATTAAAATAATAATAATAATAATGAGCTGTCATAATACATATGCATGTTATGTAATACCACTAAGTAAATCTACATACACTCTTAAGCTTAGTAGTTGTAGTAGTTTGGTCAATGGAAATGGCGCTTACCTTGAGTTGCGGGTCATCAACAGTGAGTTTAACGTGACTTTTTCATGATTTTCTTACCACACCTGCAATAAAGGTAGATATGTACATGTATGTATGTATGTATTGTATGTTAAATTGATATATAATTAAACATAAAAACATCTTGCTAGCATATCTATAAGTGAGTACCAAGTCCACAGTT